TTTAGGAAAATTTCACACGATCCGAAATTCTTCCTGACTTTTAAGATAAAAACTCGCATTTGACCTAACTTGATACATACATACACACACATGTCTCATAAAGACAAGGATTTAATTGAAAAAAATATAAAGAGACGATCATTATAACAACTATCCCCAAACATATATAGGTTAATTATATTATTATTCTAGGGTCGGGTTCAATATTTTTCACTCTAAATCTAAATTTGACTCGACCTTATGTTTCAAAAAAGACACAATTCGATTGGAACTCAAATTTTAAAAGAAAAAAGAATTGATACTATTAAATCAAATTGGGTCAGAAATAATCGGTTACAGGCCTAATGTCAGCATCCATTGGATCTTTTGCCAAATTGGGCATTTTGTGTTTGTCATGGTAGCGGGCTAGAATGCGGCCTTAATGAAAGGGCCATTGTTTCTTTTTGATCCATCTGTATGTGAGACCGAATCGTACAAGGGGGGCTGGAATCTGGGCATATGCCCACGAGGCTTGCTCCTCACATTCGTTTTTAAACCATAAATTTTAGGCTTTCTTCATTAAATTAAAGGGTAAAATATATTTTAGGTCATTTAATTAATAATTCAATTATAAATACATTGTTTTTAAAAATTATAATTGAATGACTTAATCATAATTTTTAAAAATAATTTATTGATTGTTAAAATTGAAATAAACACCTAATGTGATTTGATATAATAATAATTTTAATTTTAAAATTTATATATTATATCAATTTGTTTCTAATTTGAATTTTTTTAACCTATTGTATTTAATTTTTTTTATTAATTTAGTCTTTTTGTGATACTATCAAACCAAAAGTGTCTATTATATCAAAGTAGTTGAATAACTACATTCTACATAAAATTTTATTATACAATAAAAACAACATAACTTTTATGGGGGGGGAAAACAATTTAGGAGGAAAAAGGACTAAATTGGTAAAAAAAAAATAAAGGATAAAATTTATTGAGTTGATTAGAATCAATTGTATTGATAGAATCTATGAGTTTTGAAGACAAAAACTATTATTATATCAGATCATATTACTATTTCATATTTTCATCTGATATTTAACACTTACTAACTTACTTCTAATAATATTTTAATTTAGTGGCTAAATTGTAACTTTTAGAAGAAAAAATAACTCTTTATAATTGGATGATGTAGGAGGTGTATTTTACCCTAAATTAAAACATTTTGCTTTGCTGTGTATAATTGGATGAGAATTTGGAGTAAAAAAGTTAAGGTTTTTGCTATATTAATTTGGCTTTATATTAAGAGTTGTGACCATCTCCCCAACCCAACCGGTAACCACGAGTCCTCGTCGTCATGTTGTATCGTTGCCGGAGTGTCGGGACATGAAGCCAACGGATAATGAAAAGTATATTTTTATTTTCTTCTTCGTCGCTATGCTTTCAACTTGGTAATGGAAATGACATTAATTGGTTTTGAGGACCCCTTCTGTTGTTTCACTTTTCAGCTCCAATTCGTGTGGATGGTTTTTGAAGATGGAACGGCAGGCCCTCCCCTTGGGCCAAATTCCCCTCATCGACAATCAACGTATGACCAAATGCTTAAAGTTTGATCGTTCGACTTCAACATGTGTGGTACTGTCCGGGGAACTCATGCCGCATCTTTCATCTCTACAATTTGATGGATACAACTTGCTTGGACATGGTTCCTGTTTCATCACACCCCACTTGCCTTTTCTTTGACCCACCCTAGCTACCATAAAATATGTTATCTAAAGTCCGATTATTTATTTGATTCGATAAATTCAATTATTTGTTTGATCTGATTATTTGTTCGATATGATACATAATCAGTATTATTATATTAAACAAAATTATTTCATTATGAAATCTTAACATTATTGGACCCATCTTGCCTCTGACTTCAGGGGACCCAACTTAATAATTAGGTTAAGCAAGCAAATCTACTAGAGGTTAATAAATGTAACCATTTACAGAAGATTGTGAATCTAAAAGCTTTAGTAGTCAAAGGGATTAGTGGAAACCAATTTATAATTAATGTTATGATTAGAATTATCAAGCATTTGAATAATATAGAATTTGAATAAATCCCAAAAATCGGAAATTAGGATTATTATGTCAGTATAATTACATAATATAGAATTTGAGGATTTAATTATTCTCATAAATTTCAGCTACAGGTTAATTTTTTTCTATCGACAGTTCATTTTCTTTGATTAGCTAAATAATAGAGGTTTCGTTACTTCTTTTTTATTCTAGAACTATACTATTAATTTTATTTTTCATTGATATTTAAGCATGAGTTTGGAACTGTTATTTATTGGTTTAAACCCTGCAGTAGCTCTAGTTAATTTTGTTATTATTTCTCTCTTTTTTTTAGAAAAAGGTCGAGCAGCTTTTGATGATCAATGGGTTTATCAATTTAATTATGATTTGCATGTGAATCAAATTTTGCTCGTGTTGGAATGCATTTTTGTTTTCTATTTTTTCTGACTTGGAATTTGTTGATTCCTGGACATGGAAAGTGGTTAATTATCATTCTTTTCTATTATCAGGATGGAATTTGTATTTGTTCTTTCCTTTTCCTGGTAGAGTGCATAAGAAATCATTATTGGGTGCTATTGCATTTTTTTTCTTTTACGTAAATGATCTGGTTAATGGGCTTTGCTTTTGCTTTTTAAAGTACATTGATTTGTTTTGGTGAAGCTGTTTAGTTTTATGGGTTCATTTTTTGTTTGCATTTCATGTTTTCCAAGATAGAACTGCCTAGTTACCAACTATTATTCTATTTTAAAGGGATTTTGCCAAGCTTGAGATTGCTCTTCTGTGTTACGATTTAATGATCCAGAAATGTTTCTAGTTAGTTTCCATGTGAGGAGTATTTATTGCTGTTTTTAAATAAATACTGTAACTATTGTACTAATCTTTGGTAAATTCTCTTCTTAAAACAAATTTTTGAGAGGCACCTTAAAGTTTGGATCCTTTTATCTTGCCCTCCTAGTGAAAATGTTTGCCTTTTGATGATTAAAATGACCATTAGCTTTGAATACTATAATGCTAATAAAGCAATTATATTGATATTTGTTATGTGGTAGATAGATTACAATGTAGTAGGAAAGTGGATTGTCACATCGTATGAACTGGTGTTGCATATGATTTTCAATCCTTGGCCAAACTGTAGGGACCATAGCTTTAGGGATTCTTTACTGGTTTGCGTTCACCTTTAATAAGGTTGGGTTTTACATCTTTCGTTACACTAGTGTACAATTTGTTTTACTTAATTGGTCTTGCCTTATACCCATTCCTGCCCAAACATGTGGCCTGTCTTTATTCAAATTCTGAAGTTCAATTCCCTCAATCTTACTTCTATTGTTGTTCTGCAGCGTCTTTCTGAAACACTGAGCGCATATGGAACCTAATGGTCATAGGAGAGCGAGGAGAAGGGATCATCTTGTCCAAGCAAACGGACATACTGGCTTATCGTATTCCATAGATGAACTGGATACATGGACTGCATGGGCATATAAGCCTCGTACTATTTCATTATTATTTGTTGGTGCATGCTTTCTCATGTGACTCTTATGCTTAATATTTACCTCCTTTTAGCTGTAACTCAACCATTACTGTGCAGTTTTCCCCTTGTTAGGTTAGCATACATATTTTATGTTGTTTCATCTTCTTTGCATTTATACTCATTTTTTGTTACAAATGACTGTCAATATTTCGGTTGTCATCAACCAATGGTTGTCTTTTGGTCCTTGTTGTAGAACTTGTTTCTGGTACATTCTCCAGTCTCCACCCCTTGTAGATATACTTGATGCTGCTATTGTGTTGCCAACTGTTCAGTGAATCAAGGTTTTGAGCATGGGATGGGGTATCCTTTCTAGAAAGGACACTATGGTTGCAATGATGCAATGGTTTTGGAGACGTTTTTAGTAATTTTAGGAAAATATCATGGGAGCCTACACATTTGTTCTGACTCTATATCATTCAATAAATATTATTCAAATATAGTGGCTTCTATTTTTCTCTCACCGTTTTGCTTGGTAAAAGTGACTGTTCTGAAAGGCAAACATCTTTGTATTATCTATTTGGCTAAGTTCTGCCCCGTAAAATTATACATTTTACTTTCATTTATCATGAATGTGATTTCTTATAATAGTGTTCCTAAATGTTTTAAACAGGCAGAACTAGTTCCCCGCCCTTAGGTTGCATCCTATATACATAGCAGAAAACCATAAAGAATCTAAAAAGATTATATTTAAAAGAATGGAACTCTTCTGTTTTTGTTTTAGTGTTTTTATTTAGTTCCCCCTCTCTTTTCTCTTATTTTCTTTATTGTAACGTTAGTTGGTAACATGCCATGAGTTAAGAATATAAGAAGACACCCTTCCAAATAGATGCTGAGGTGTTCTACTTACAAATATAAAATCCATCTCTCTCTCTCTCTCTGCTCACACATGCATGGAAACACATGTATCGATGCATGATGTGTTGATATTCAATATTGTTCTGGAAGGGTTCACATTTAACCCACACATACAAACACAAAAGCTATCATCCATAGTTGAATATATGATTGGTGATGGCTGCTCTCAACTCTGTTTTCCAGAAGCGTGATGATGCTAGGCAGTTCATGAAGTTTCTCCATCCTGACCTTGGTGGGCTTTTGAAAGTCATCTAGTTTCATACTTGTTCTGCTATTATTAATATTATCAAACTTCCTTGATTATTGTTTGCGTCTTTAACTCTTTATGCAGAGCTTCCAGAAAGATCCTATGGTGCGGATTGTCGCATATATACTCCTGAAAATCCCTCGAGCAGCAGGTTTAAGAATGTTTATGTACGATTCTTCTTGCACAACCTGGCTTCTGTATTTTACTCTACTTCTTTTACCTCTTTTTCTTTAGGTGTTTATTTTAGTTTGCATAATTGAGCCTGTATTTCTTGTTGCAAATTATATATTCATTTCGTACTTCTAACTTTTGTCATGGATATTTTTTTTCCTTCTAGGAAACGTTATTTGATGAATTTGTAGTAGCCCACATCTTTGGTTGGTGTGGCAAGGCCATTTTGATCCGCAATCAGCCACTTCTTTGGGTCCTCTCAATTGGATTTGAGTTGATGGAGGTTAATTTTTTGAATGGACACAAATTGTCTCTTCGTTTTATCCTCGATTCACATTTAGATTTATTATAGTAATTGGTAAGTCTTGAATGTTCTCGCCGTCTGTTTTGCATCCATAAACTAACTAATATGGAGGCATATACAGTTTACCTTCCGACACATGCTACCGAACTTTAATGAGTGCTGGTGGGACAGCATTATTCTTGATTTTTTGACTTGTAACTGGTTTGGTAAGATCTCAAGTGCTAAATCTGTTCCGTTTCACTTTTTGTTTTATTAATTTATTGTATGGAAATAATGGGTTGTTGATTATTCGACCTATCTTGACAGCAAATTTGCTTTGCACATAGGTATTTGGGCTGGAATGCATACCGTTAGGTACTTTGATGGGAAAACATACGAGTGGGTTGGTATAAGTCGCCAGCCTAACATCATGGGCAAAGTTCCTTGCTGTGTAATTACTTCTTATAAATACAAAAGTTCCTGCAACTTTTAAACCTTCAAGTCTCTTTGGACATGGAAATATGGTCCCTTTTTCGTTATAAATAAGTTTTTCTTTTGTTGTACTGTATCTTTCTGATATTTTCCTTGTACATATACTCTTTGCTGTCTCCAGGTTAAACGAACTTTAGGACAATTTACGCCAGCACAGTGGGACAAAGATGAATGGCACCCTCTGCTTGGTCCAATGCATTTCGTTCAAGTTCTCAGTCTTTGCATCGTCTTTTCGACAGTAGAACTTAATACATTCTTTCTCAAGTTTTGTCTGTGGATTCCTCCTCGAAACCCTGTGATCGTATATAGGTTGATCTTGTGGTGGCTAATAGCAATACCGACAATTCGCGAGTACAATTCATACCTCCAAGACCGGTACCCTCTCTTTCTCTCACTCAAGGAAGAATTTTCTTGTTCAACTTAAAACACTTATTTTATTTATTTATTATTTCAGAAAACCGGTGAAAAAGGTTGGAGCACTTTGTTGGCTTTCCCTTGCAATTTGCATTGTTGAGCTTCTCATTGGAATCAAGTTTGGACATGGTATATCCCAAGTCCCATACATAATGACAATAATATTTCATATCTTTTGCAATCACTCTTTAATATTTAACAATTCCGTCTCATCAGGCTTATATCCGAAGGCGATGCCGAAATGGTTGGTAATATTTTGGGTGTCTGTCGGAGTGGCTCTCGTTTCATTCATACTCATTTGGTCTTGGAAAATGTTGCGCTGTTACGGCAAAAAGAGACGATAATTTCTGGATATGAGGTGAAACTATCAGTGGTTTTTATTATATTGATGGTTGTAAATACCGTGTATCACTTCAAATCATGAACGTAGTTTGCCGGGGCTTGACGCCAGGCAAATAGCAGCTCCTCTCGGGGTTTCCGTTGCTTGGCAGTCAGCTCCGGGCATGCCATTAAGATGGTCTCCATTTAGTTTCCCATCCCCTTTGCCACAACCAAACTCTGGGATTTCTGAGCCCAAATTAAGCCTAGATGCCCTTTGCTTGAATCAATTATTTCCTTTCACCGTTCCATCTTTAAATAATATTATTATTTCCTTGTTCTTGTCAGTCATACACACGTACAAACATATTTACATATACATGTATGTGTATCAAATCTTTGGTTTCCATCTGGTCCTTCCTCTTACCATCTCTTCATTTCGAGTCTCCCCTTTGGTTCGAAGAAGATGAGTATATCCATACGTCACCGTGTTCATATCCAGTGGCCGTCCATTTCCTCCCACCATTCCTAGAACATTATTTTTAAGCAGATTCTGTTGCACCATTCCATTTGTGAATAAAATCTCGTCTTCATCGGGTTGGCAAAGCGATTGAACCAGATCCGAACTCCCACATTCTCTCCTATATTCGAGTATAATACTCGACAGCTGATTACACTCCAAAAATCTGTCTGGGATCGTCTCCAGCATCCAGTTTACATACTTGACATTATTTACATGGTGGTTCATGTCCAGATCACTCCTCTTTGGCTACAACATTATGTTAGTGTAAACCCCATTAGCTCTTTGATGCATAATGTATGTTATTATAATTGTAAATTCTACCTTCAAGTCTGAGTTCACGTATTTTGCTTTATCGTCCAGCTTGACAATTTTCTCTGGCACAGCCTCTTTGATTGCTTGTTTCTCTATGAACCAAGGAGAAATTTCACCTCTCACTTCATCTGGCATCTTTGAGAGTCGTCTCGTTTGCTCGTTCATCATCACCCATGTGCTGTTTAATCATGCATGTTTTTAGTCAATTTATGTTGTGAATTTGCATGCAAATATACAATAATACCTAGTGGCACGAGCATAGGTGATGCCTGTGGCTTGACTCCTGATTGTCCAGTCTCGTCTCATCCCGTTCTTACCCGATGCTCCGACCCATGTGTCGAGTTCGATTACCTCTCCCCTGTATCACTCAGAATTCGTGTCAAGCTGAAAACTCGGTTAAAATCATCAGAAATATCTTATCTGAAGTCCTAGTTTGTCGATTTTTATGAACCGAGAAAGGCTGACCAGATTGGATAGTGATCCACTTGGACGTGCATTCTTGAGACAACCCAAATGAGGTTGTTCTTCATCATTCCATGTGTGGCTCCAAATCCATTGCTTAAAAGTCCAGACATCCAGACATGATTCAATGCTGTTTCCTACACGGAAAAATTACAATCTCTGAATAATTAACAAGATGCCTTCTGTATTGAATGTCAAAGAATCCAAAAAGCTTAAATTTATCACCTGGAAAAGGTTAAGCAGGGTTTCCAATGAAGCTGTTTTATCGACACCAACTTCGTAAGATCGGATCACTACCTTCTGTCTATATCCAACTCCCCTTTCGACGATGAGCCCTTGACGGTTAGGGTCTACAAACTGCTTCTTCGTCGGAATCCTCTGCCGAATCTTCTCCTCGCTTATATGCCCGTTTCCAAGGAACTGGATACTAGCCAAAGAAGTATTTTTTAGAGAAATTTCATTCACTAATGCATGATGCTTAAAAGGCCCTGCAGAAGCATTCCCATTAACATTGATATTTACTCTATAATCTCCATGGTTACCGTTTGAACTCGAGCCATAACAACACCGGAAGAAAAACGAATTCACCGGACAAGAGAAAGTAGCCATCGCGTATGTTTCTGTACCCAAAGTGTGGAAAGTTTGGAACAGTGTAAAAGCCATTGATATATTTTATAGCAATTACTTGGCGATCATTTCCAAGGCAGTGTCCCGGCATGTACAGAGAATAAATCGAAGGAGCTTTGTTATAGTAATTCTCAGTACAAAGAAAAGGACACCCTTTTGTCTGTGTCTTTCAATGTGCTGAAATATGACGTCCAAAAAATTCAACACCCGATGCATCCTATGACCCCGTCACGGATGCTTGGAATTACACTGTTTTATTACATATGATTTGGTCGGTATTTGCATTTCTTGTGTACTGCGGTCAAAAGCTTTGGTGTTTCGAAAACTGCAACTTCTTCTGGTTCCATTTTTGTCGGGTTCTAATGGAGAATGTGATGTTATATGCCAATGTTGAAACCCTAGAGAAACAAACAAACTGGGAATCGGAACACGGCTTCGACTACGATGGAGATAGACAAATCAAGGGAATTCCAATCTAAAACGAACATAAAATTTTACCTTAGTTGAATTAATAAAATTTTAAAAGAATGATCTATAAAATTTTAGAAAATAAAAATATATAAAAATTTAAATTTTTTTAAAAAAACAACCATCTTTACCACCCCTCCATCCATCCATCCCTAAGTTTCACCATTCTTTTGTTACGGTGGTCTGAGTGTCACTGTTTTGGAGAGCATTTAGAGATTCTGGTTATCAGCAATTATGACTATCTCGGCAAGTTGAGAATTGTATATGTAATGTATGGCTGTTGTGAGAATATTCGATGCTGCACTTTTAATGATTTGTGGATCTCATTTAATAAAAATAAATTATTTGGTATACAACTCTCAAACTTGAATACGTTAAGTTCAAGGGCTTATATTGTAAAAAGAATCAAGGAACAATGTAGGAGATGTAATCAATTTTGAGAATTAAGTGGGGATTTATCCCTGAATATAATTGAATGATTTTAACAATCCACCCCAACTGGACCTAATGCCTTCAATTTAGCACATGGGAATCTGAAACTGCCATTACCTACGCAGGTGGGAGTTAATACATAAACCTCTGCAGAGGAAACAGCTGAATTTGATTCTGGGAATCAACAGTGGTCCTCTAATTCCTTGTTTGTTGAACCTTTCCATGCATCAAACAAAACATCTGTACTAAGAACTCTGTAGGAGAGATTTCGCATTCTGCAGACATTGGATTAACTTGGGGGTTGAGTTCTTATGCAATTGAATCATATTGAAATCTTGTAATTAAGTTGAACTTAGGTCATAAAACAATAATGAAAGATATAGACAATAATTCTGCAACTTATTTACGTCTTTTAATGTGTTTAGCCATAGACTTAAACCTCTAAACTTGACCGATGAAACGTAGATAAGGAAGGAAACTGTGGTTTCTCCTCCCATGAATCACAAACACTGTTCATCACTGTTCATTACTGCAGCCATATGTATCATGGGTAGCGGTGGCTTTGTCTTTGGACGGGCCACCGGCACAGGAGAATACGATAGCTGTAACGAGAGAAAGGGCTACTAAAGTTGCCCACGACATTTAAAAAACACTGCTAAAATCTTCGGTAGTACCGGTTGCCCCACTGTCAACAACTCTAACCCCTTGTTTCCATAGCCGAATCATCTCTTTGCAAAAGGTTAATGGTGATTTGTGAAGAAAGCTTTGGCATTTGGTGGCCATTTATTTAAGAACGGAAGGTGGGTGGCTAATTGACTTCACTCTTTATGATTTTTAAGACTTTCCGATGACAGTGGTGGCTTCTATACTCTCCAGTGTTCACAAATGGTATTTTGGCGCTTCATTAATTGGAGGGCCATTTGGTCAAAATATAGTTCATTTTAGTGCAAGTGTGTTTAGCACTAATGGTTAAAATGTATTAGATGTCTTTAACTATGCTCAAAGGATCATTTATTCATTATATTTTTAAATTTTATAAAATGATCATTAAATTTATTGAATTGATGTGATGTTATGATAAGTGTAAAAGTTTGATAAACTTAATAATCAATTTGAATAATTGTAAGAAATAATGAATATTTTGCAATAATTCAATAAAATTTAGTGACTATTTCAATAATTTTAATGACTATTTTATATCTTTTTTAAAAATTAATGACTATAACGATCATTTTGAACATAATTGTACCTTTAGTGGATTAACCTAGACCAATAAATTAGTCATTTGCATTGACACTTGACAGGTGCTAAAGGAAAGTTGGTCACGGCAGGAGAATGAGGACCACCAAGTCCAAATGCTAAACATATATTACCATAAAATAAACAATTGAATATAAAATAATAAGAATAAAGGTAAATTACATCATTGATCACCAAATTACTTCTTTTATAGTTTTAATCGCTAATATTACATTTTTTCTATTTTGATCATTAAACATTAAATTTCTGTTAAATTTCAATGAAGATGTTGATATAGTCTGGTATAACAATAATTTTAATCCTTGAAATTTATATATCATGCAATTTGATCATAATTTAAAATAATTCAATAAATTTAACTTTTTTATATTTAAAAATTCCATCAATTTGATCCTCATTCTAAATCTAAATAATTCACTGAAGTTAAATCTATGTGAAAATTAAGGTAAATGAATGGGTTTGGAAGGGATCAAACCTATACCATGGAATAACAAAACACTTAATTGGTATTTCAAGCTATATAATTGTTGTAGGATTGACAGATATAATATTTAGGTTAAATTGTGTAATAAGTTTCGGAGACTAAAACTATTATTATACCAGTTTCAGTCAGTTGCCAAAATAGGAAAAAAATATAACATTAGTGGCTGAATTTGTAGAAAAAGAAAACAATTCAATAACCAAATAGAAAAGTTGTAATAATTTGATGACTGATGATGTAGTTTGTGCAACGTTGTGTATGTTAGAAAAATATAACATATTTTCCACGTAAAGTTATGGGTTTTTCAAAATAATCAATAATAACATAATAATATGTTGAATCTATAGTTATGCATTGTATTAATAATTGCATGTTAATCCTAAAGTTGTGTTTATAAAAAAATTACTAATACGATAAATAATATACATTCAAATGATTATTATTATTAATTTAATCATTGTAAATCAAAATAAAAAATATAATTAATATGTATATAAACTTAAAATAAAATATAACCTATATAATAAATTCAAAATCATAATAAAATGTAAATGGACTGACATACGCGTGGATTTGACTATGCACAATTTTGAACCCAAAACAAATGTAAATGGCCCAATATAACATACCCAATAAATCAGTCCATCACATAAACCAACTTAGAAATAAATACATTCTTTATTTTGTATTACAGTATTTAATTTGAATATTTGAATTTATAATTCCTGTGATTAATATAAATTTAGATAATAAATATTATTTTTAACTAAGTATGAGTTTAATTTTAAAATGTTTTGTAAGGATTATTTTTAAAATGATAATTAAATAAACATAATAAAATTTGGAGTATCACTATCTAACTTCTTTTTGCACATTAAAAATTGGGCGGAGACTGGAGAGGATGTCATTTTGAACTGAGTTGAGCTCAGAGTTTCAATTATTTTTCCTTTCAATTTTCTGATTTTATCTAACAATTTTAAGTTTTTTTTAAAAATATATTTTATATACATTTTTATATATTTAGAAATTATATTTCTTAATTGTAAATCAAATTTAATTCATACGAGATCAACTAAAAGAACTATTTAAACTAAATTATTAATACAAACAAAATGATCTTGATAGTAATTTTTTTTAAGATTTCATATTTAAACACCGTGAATAATAATATTATGAATGTTTAATGTTAAATGATCGAGAGTTATCGTAAAACAAATATTAATTTTTATTTATCCTAAATTAATTGAAAAAAAAACTAAACTGCTAATATTTTTTTTATTTCTGAAGATATCCCCTGAACGACGTCGGAGTTCCGACCTACTTATTAGTTCAATTTATGCTTAAAAAAGAAGAGAGAAATCAATGTACAACACCTGTGTTAATATAAAGGTGTACAAACTGATTTTGGCTTGGGTACAAAGAGGAAGTGTTTCTTCTTCCCCGAATAATTGCAGATTTAAAGTGTCTAAATTCTACTTACATTACACTTTAGGGGCTAGTCTCCGTCATCTCCTGACGTCTCTTCAACGAAAGCTGCTTCTGCATTCTCATTTGACAATGGAATCTCTGTATGAACAAGTCAGCTACTCGGTCTATCTCATCTTCCAGCCTGAACTCTTCCCCTCTATCTTCTTTCGATTTCTTCACTATCTCGATCACCGAAGCTCCTTGATCGCCCAACTCCATTTCTTCCGACTCGAAAAGCGAGTGACTCAGGTCTGGGTATTTTTCTTCATCAGCATCGTCTTCATACTTGGTCTGGGTTGTACTCGGTATCCACATGGCATTGCTGCTATTGTAGAGAGCGATCGACGGGCTTCGTTGACCTCCACTCACATCGCCTTCTACCTCCTTGGAGATTTTGTCATTGCGCCCCATCAAGGCATTGAGCTTGTCGGAGAGCGAGCTCACCACCAGAAACTTCCTGTTTTGAAGCAAGGAGAAGATGACGAGGCGAGTCTTGATTGCCTTCGTCTTGCTCTTTATGGCCATGGTTTTGGCCTTGGCCATTGTGGCTAAACCCGTGAGTATCTGCTTCAACAATCCACTTGCTTTGTTCCTCATTTTCTTCTTACACTTAACGAAGACACCGAGAGATATTTTACGACAGCAAAGCTTTAAAAAAAATGATTGAAGGATGTTTTTGGTTTTGGTCTGTGTTGTAATGAAAGGGGTTTGAAGGATTTAAATAATGGGAATGGAAGGGTGGGGGCTAAGGAAAAGAGGGGAAGCCATTGAAGTGAAAGTTAAAGTAGAAAGGTGAAAGGTAAGGACAAGTGGTAGCATTTCGTGGTTCTGATCGTGGCACGGTGGTTTCCGAGGCTGATAGTTTTGGCAGCTGGGTTTCGTGGATTGTAGTATACTATTATTATAGGGATTGTCTTAGGAAAGGCGGGTTAATATACGGCTAATATATGGTAGTACCGGATACATTAAAATGTATTTAATAAATTCGGTTTAGCGGTATCTATTATGTTGACAACTAATAATGTTTTAGGTAGAAAATATGAAAAACTATTAAAAAATTTGGTAACCGGTAAACTTTGGTTATCGGTAAGTATCTATCCTTTTTATAAAAGTGTCCATACTTTTAACATATCAAGTAAATTTGACCGGTTTTGTCATAATGAATCTGGTTTTGTCATATTTTTACCTGTTATATTGTAAAGTATCTATCCTTTTTATAAAAGTGTCCATACTTATTTCACTGTGAAAATATATTTATTATTATCTTTGGTTAATATTGTTAAATTTAAATTCTAAATAATATTTTATAAAATATCAAATAATCAAATAATTTTGTGTGTAAATGAAATTATTAAATTAATATTGTAGGTGAAAAACATGAAACACTATTAAAAAAAATTGAAACATAAATTACATAAATTTAAAAAATATATATATCATTTTTATAAAAGAGTCCATACTTATTTCACTGTGAAAACATATTTATTATTATCTTTGGTTAATATTGTTAAATTTAAATTCTAAATAATATTTTATAAATATCAAATAATCAAATAATTTTTTGTGTAAATGAAATTATTAAATTAATATTGTAGGTGGAAAACATGAAACATTAAAAAAAATTGAAACATAAATTACATAACTTTAAAAAAAGTATATATCATTTTTATAAAAGTGTCCATACTTATTTCACTGTGGAAAACATATTTATTATTATCTTTGGTTAATATTGTTAAATTTAAATTCTAAATAATATTTTATAAAATATCAAATAATCAAATAATTTTTTGTGTAAATGAAATTATTAAATTAATATTGTAGGTGGAAAACATGAAACACTATTAAAAAAAATTGAAACATAAATTACATAACTTTAAAAAAAGTATATATCATTTTTATAAAAGTGTCTATACGTATAAAAGTAGGTCTAAGTCATGAAGAAATATTAAACGATATACCAGGTAAAATATGATAAAACCGGTAACAAAATGATAAAACCGGTAAAACGTTACCGGATATATTGAAAGTGTCGATACTTTATATAAGGATCGACACTTTGTGAATTTAAAAGAGAAGCAATTTTAGCGCTTATAATGTGTCGATACTTAAAAAAAAATATCGATCCACAACGATATAACAGGTAAAAATATGATAAAACCGGTATCAAAATGATAAAACCGGTAAAATGATACCGGATATATTGAAAGTGTCGATACTTTCATAAGTACGTGTAATAAATTATCGACACTTTCAAAGAAATAGGTAATTATCCTTTCGAAAGTATCGACACCTGACATAAAAGTATCGACACTTTTGTATTTGTATCGATTAAATATAAATAACATATCCGATCAAAATATAAGCTAAATCTCCTCTGAAAATAGATAGAATGGACGAGTTTTTGAAAGCGAAGCGTAATTGTTGCTGCATTTCAGAAGGCGTTTCTAAAGCGAAGTTTGTTTGTTTGTTGCTGCAGTCTAATCGAAAAGTATGTTATCGAAACCCTAATTTTTTATTATTACAGTAATCGCGATAGGGTTTTTATGTGTTGTTTGGGGTTTTGGAGTAAAGAAGCATTTGGGAACGATTGCAGGTAGAAAGTGATATTCAAGGAAAAATAAATGTCGATACTTTATTAAATATTATAGGTAGAAAATGATATTATAGGTTGTATAAATGTACCGACACATTTTGGTGTGGCCATTCAAATTCTTTTGAAGAAAACCGTTTTACCACAAGAGTAGTTATCTATATTTGTATATTGAATAAAGTGTATGTAACAAAATAATTTGATTTGCGTAAACTGATATATGAAGGAAAAATGGAGTCAATGGGTTGGAAAATTGTTGGTGGAGCAGATGACTTTGAAATTGAGGCCGAGACTCGAAAGCAACTCAAGGGTGGATATATGTACTTCTAGTAAGTATCAATGTCTTTTTGTTATTATTGTTGAAATGGTAATTGGATTAAAGTATCGATAAACTTTAAATTGATTACAAATTTTAAATGTTGACAGTATGGCCGAATGCAAAAGGATGAAGGAAGATGGCACACAGAGTGGTTCGGTATGTAAAATGAAATTGACATTGAGTAGTATTTAGTGTTAATGTATTGATTAAGAAACGTTTATGTTTTATATTAGGTGACAAAAGATGTGAGGTCCAAATGGAATTCAATGAGTGATGCTGAAAAGGAACCTTACATCACACAGTCAATGAATGATAGTAAAGAATACAAAGAACGGAGGAAAGCACATGAAAATAAGGTATTCATTAAACTTGTAAATACGTTGATACAAAATATAAGAACTATAACATTATATTGTTAAAAAATGTAGGAAGTGTCGACAAGATTCAGCATTAAAAGGGTGAATTTATTAATTAAACACCTTAAGGAGAAGGGTCAGTTGAATGTGCTGGGAGAAATAGGTTTTGGATCGTTGGTAGGAGTAAGGGATCGACCTATTCGGAGGGAATTGTGTCGATCCTTGATGGCGCAATTTGATGTCAGGCAATGTGTTGCTAAATATGGTGATTTTTCATTTCCTCTCGGGATCCCATGTGCTGCAGCCGTATTGGGGGTAGAAAATGAAGGCAAAAGTGTTGTAGAAGTCTGTCAGAGTAAGGACTGGAAAGCACTTGCCTCCAAATATGGTTTGAAGCATAAGGTGACATATGCTGAAATTGAAGAGGAAATAAAAGTGGATCTTACGTTGGGGATGAGCTGAAGGCCAGAGTTCTATTATACCTTGTCGGTATATTTCTTTGTCCAACGGGTAATACGTCAACGAACAAAGAACATATGAAGCTCATTTGTGATGAAGGCTTGAAGGGTAAATTCAACTGGGCTGAATATATCCATTCGAGATTGATTGAATCAATAATCAACTTTAAAAAGGGCAGCCAGAGATACCTCAAAGGGTGCATAGCAATCTTAGAGGTAAATGAGTTGAAGAACTTATTTGTGTTTTTATATAATATAATTTTATTATAAATGCAGGTTGCACTGTTCGATTTTTGGTCGGGCTGTGAGGCAGTGCCGGCTTATGAAAGAACCGGAGTGGCACGCATCCGTGCATGGGGGAAGGAAGAGGTGGCTAGAGTGATGGTGAAGTTGAAGTTGGATAGAGCGAAGAAGCAAGAAAGGGTAATAAATGTAATTAAATAATATTAAGAATATAATCAATGTCTTAATATTGTAATTTAATTTTGAAGGTTATTGGCAAGGATTTAGAGGAGGCAGAGGAGAAGAAAGGAGGGATGGTTGTATTGGGGGATGACGGTGAGTGGGACGACGGTGAGGGAAAACGTAGTAACTTCGACATTTTGATGTCTGAATTGGCTGATATCAAAAAAATCCAATTTGAAATCATGCAAAGACAATCAAGAGTCGAAGAGAAACTTGAGAGAGTCGAAGATACACTTGAGAGGCATAAGGGGGTAGTGGAAGGAAAAATAGATGGAGTGGTGAAAGAAGTAGGGTGTTGAGGGGTGAAGTGGTGAAAGAAGTTGGGGTGTTAAGGGGTGATATTAAGATGGTGACGGGTGAAAAATTTGAGGGAGTGATTAAGGAGGTTGTGGAATTGAGGAGTGAACTTACGGGGGTGAAGGGGGTGGTTGATAAATACTTGGATGAAGGAGATCAATTGAAGGGTGAAATAAACGAGATGAAGAGCTATGTAGAAAAAAAATACGATGAACTGAAAAAATATGAAGAAGAAAAGAGGGAGGAGGAAGAAGAAGAGATGGAAGAAGTGAGGAGGAAGGAAGTCAATGTTATTTATACACCGGAGAGTGTTATAGCAGCAGATTTGGATTTGGAATGTCCTGCACCCCAGAAGAAGAAGCAGAAGGTAAGTTGAATAAAAGAAAACTTAATTTGATTTTTATTATGTTGTTGTGACAAAAATTTGTATGCAAAATTGTAGGTTGAAAAAGCGGATATTCCAAGCGGAATTGATGACATCGAAGCTGCAATTTGTGATTATTTATGGAATAGCGAGTTAGAATCGGAGTAACTGAAATATATTGTTTTGTGAGTGATATTTAAATATTTCATGACAACATATTAATCCTAATGATTCATACAGATATTCTGTAATCTCAATAGGAAATCAATTCGCTACTGTATACGACGTTGCAACGTTGAAGCCTACGGAATGGGTTGGCAGTGTGGTAAGTAGAAAGTAGAAAATGTTAAAACTTATTGAATATGTTCTGATTGTGTAATTAATTTTGTTAGGTTATCGATTTGCTCGCTTGGACCATATGCTACGATTCTCAAAAGTCACTCCGGAGGATTGGCTACCTTCCATACCTCTTAGCGGTGTTAAATTAATAAATATTGAAAAGTAGTGTTATAGACGGTAAATTAATAATGTTTGTTGCGTAATTACAGCAACAGGCGTTGGATGCCAACAACAAAGAAAGTGTTGAGAGTATTTCTACCTTCTGGGGTGTCATATTGGATAACTATGTGAAATTCACCGACTGTGAGAAGGTAAGACACCATACCAATTGCAAATGATGTTTCGGATATAGAATGTTGAATTTTGTCAAATTGTGAAATTTGTTGCATCATGATCACAATAAACCATAATTCACATTGGTATCTGTTGGTGTGGATATGGTAGATCGTGTTGTAACAATATATGATAGTATGTTTACAACTGAAGCACTA